CCCCCCCCCGCCGTCCCGTGGGTTTCGCCTCGCCGCTCCCCCGGCGCCGGGCCTGCAACGAAGCATTGGAGGGGTCCCTCAGCCCCGTGCCAAGGGCGGGCGTCGCGCCCGGCCTGGGGGCCCCTCCGCTGCACCTCTTTTTTTGGGAGGGGGTGAGGGTAGAGCGTAATGTCATCTGCGCTAATCCTCTTTTTCCTTCTTGTGCCAGCTCCGGTAAACGGCGTTTTCAAGGCGTCTGAGCGCCTTTCTCACGGGGCTCGTGAGGAACCGGCACCTCCTGCTGCAGAAACCAGGTGAAAACAGAGATCTTGACTTAAACAAAATAAAAGACCCCGCTCGACTCTCGCTCGGATTTCATGCCGACTGGATTTCACCTCGACTGGATTGCCAGCTCCGGTAAACGGCGTTTTCAAGGCGTCTGAGCGCCTTTCTCACGGGGCTCGTGAGGAACCGGCACCTCCTGCTGCAGAAACCAGGTGAAAACAGAGATCTTGACTTAAACAAAATAAAAGACCCCGCTCGACTCTCGCTCGGATTTCATGCCGACTGGATTTCACCTCGACTGGATGGTGCGGTGGTTCTTCCCCTGCCGAGACGAAAGGGCGATCCCTAACGCCTGCTCGGTGAGAAGCTTCTCTTTCGTCCGAGCGGGAGGCAAGGAGGTGCCCCCCTTTAGGAGGAGCTCGCCAGTGAGCTTTTCTTCAGGCTTTCGTCCCGCCGAAGACAGCCCTGCTGACTTGCTGCGCTCGCGTATACGGAGCCGCCGGATCCCTTCGCTCCGCGCTCCTACACACCCTCATTTTCAGCAGCGCGCTCCCTGCTCTTGGTTACCTTCGAAGCCCTCGCCCTTGGCCAGCAGTCCAGCTGCTGCTCGTAGCATTAAGAGGAGAAGCCCAGCTCTTCTCAGAAGAACTGAGGCAACGGGTCCGCCCTTGAGACTGGAGATCAAGCAGTACCGAGCAGGGGGCTTGGCATTTACGGAGGGGAGGAACGGAAAGGGAAGGGCTCTGCTGAAAATGAGGATGGGGGGTCTCCCACAAGTGCTATAGGAAGGGTCTGGATGCTAAATTAGTTCGAGGTGAATTAGGGGAGCGGGTGGAGAGGTGGCAGCGACTCTGAAGAAAACAGAGGATGGAAGAAAAGGAGAACGAAAAGGCAGCGAGCAGAGCCTGTCCTGATGAGGCATTCGAAGCACGCCGTGCCTTACCTGACCTTTACTGTTCTCATGCCTCATCAGCTAGAAACCGCTGGCCCGCCTGTCCATAAAACTTTTAACTTAATCAAGTTAAAAATAGACTCGTCAAGCTGAGGTAGTTTTCGCATGCACAAAGCTTTAGCTATTACACAGAGGTCTTCGATGCCGACCAGTGACATAAGGGACGATCCGTATGGCTCCCTGTGCTGGATGTGTGCAAGCTGAAATGCTGCGTTGGTCTAGGATGGCCACAGCTTTCCTTTGGGTGCCTGAGAGGTGTCTTCACTCACCACCTTTACCAACTCGACTGATCACAGCTTTGCGGTAGGTGAAGGCGGGGTGCTGGCTGGGCTCAACCCATCCCTCCCTCCCCTTCTCAGGGAACGGTGACTTTGCACCTGGCTTAGGGGGGGCTTGGTAGCGAAGCTGTGGATATTGCCTTTTCATTTGCTTCTCAGCATAGCTTTTCGAGAACCGTCCTTCTGCTTCAAAATCGCTGTCTTTGGAGAACCTAAGGTGCGAAACGAAAACCAGACTCAGTAAAGCAGCCCGAAATCCCCGGGATAGCTCTGTGGTATTTGGCTATGCCTCTGAATGCTTGTTAGCGGTAATTTGTGCTAATGACGAAATGAGCAGCCCCTTCTGTGGGTCAGGCAGAAGAAAGCAAGTGGGCATTGCAGGGCCTTGGGCCCTCTTCCTTGACAGGTCGGGTCTACGGCAGACTCTGAGACACCTCTGGCAACCCCAAGTACCAGAAAGGCTCCATAACAGCCCACCTAGGCATCCTTCTAAATCGGGGACCTGGGAGCACAGAGAGCACAGAGGGACTGAGGAAAACATATGTGCAAGATATACCTGAACGGAAGACGTTTCCCAGCCGTTTCTGCAGGAAAAGTCGCCTTTGGCTCTGTTGGCCCTTTCTGTTGTGTCTTCTGCAAGGGAAAGTGAATCTGACTCCTGGGAGAGGTCCTCTGCAAGAGAACAGAAAATTAGACCAAAGTAGATATGAGTTATTACTGCGTGGGGTTTAAAACGTCCACCTTAACCCAAGTGAGAAGTTCCTGGCACTTGTTCAGGGTAACATAAAGAGGTTTTGTACCAGGAATGAGGGAATTTGGATGAGCAGGGTGAGAAGTAAAAGCAACCTCAGTAACTGCTGAAGGAAGGGAAGCAATGGAGGCCAAACGTGCGAAGCTGTACAGAAGTCACGTATACAATCTAATGCAAACAAGTATGTTCTCCAAAACCACCATGTGAAGCCAGCTGAGGCATATAAGTAAATAATACTCTTTGAGTTGCGCTTAGTTGTGTTCTGGTTTGCTTTTTGAGAATTGTAGTTTCTCTTTGCTGGCACAGAGACTGAAGCTCAGCTTTGAAGATAAACTAAAGTCGGTGTAATTCCTCAGCAGTGAGCACGGGACTCATCTCACCAAACTTCCTCTAGCTAAAAGTTAGGCATCTAAATCCTGCAGGAGATGGAGGCTTTAGGCTCTGCTTTGACTGTAACTCCTTAAGCAGCAGGACCAGTTTTGTTGGTTCTTTTTAACCTGGATGTGTTTTTATCTGCATATGGCCAGGAACGGGCAGCTGAGCTGCCCAGCCATGGTGATGGCACAGGAGTGAGGGCAAAGAACAAAGATGGGGCAGCGTCACTGAAGTCTGTCAGACTTCAACCCTGCAGAGAGCCAGGACCAAACCCGCAGTCCTTGGGTATGGTTTTTTGTTATGTTTAGTACAGTGTAAGTGAGGAGCGCCCCCGAAAGGCAGGTCCTCTTTCCAGCCGTGGCCGCACGCACTAGGTGACTCCCTTGGGTAGCGGAGCTAAGGGATTGGCTCATTGATCAGCGGGACGTGGACCCAGTGGGTAAGGTTTGATTTCCATCCGATCATTGACACGATCTGCATCGCCCCAAAGCCACGCAATCATTGAGCCAATGTTCAGTGTCTCCCTCCCAGCTCGCTCAACGTTACTGCCTTCCTCAGAGCGGTGCCTCTGGGATCTCTCCAGTCCTAAACAGACCTTCTTAATAGCCTAGACATGAAGCTCATTACTTGCGTGTTGTTGAACTGTGACATATTTTACCGTTCCGAATTGCTCCTTGGTGAAAAACGCTGTGGGGTTAGACTTCAAGTCAGGAAGAGGATTGTTTGTTGTGATCAGTGCTGTCTTGTCTTCATTGAACATTGAAGATCGGACCATGAGCGCCATGCATCTTCTGCAGCTACTGAGGTGGTTCTGAAATGCATCATTGGTGAACGGCATAAAGTCTCTCTGCGGTATGGGACAAAAGGGAGAGCTGCATTAGAAGGGCCAGCTCCATATATCCATCTTACAGTTGCAGAAGTAGGAGAAGTGCCATCCTGTACCAACCCTGGGTTGCCTGGGCCTGGTCTTTGCTGAGGGGTCCGCCTGGAGAGACCCCTGTTGCTACCAGAAGTGCAAAGAACATAAGAAAAAGAACTTGAAATTTGCAGTGTTTTCTCACTCCAGTGGTTTCCAACTGGAGGCTGAAGCTGGACTGTTGAATCTAACAGGCTCTGATATCTCTCTCGTGCAGTTGTCTAGCTCATGTTTGAACCCACCTAGGTTTATCTATGGCAGCTGTTCTTCAGAGGAAACCATGTAAGGGCTTAGCTCACATATGTGCTCCAGCTTGCCTGCTGCGGAGTAGATTTATCTTGGAGAAGCATCCCTTCACCCTTCATTATGTTGGTGCAATGACCTCCCCTGGGTGGCAGAGCAGGGAGGTTGATCCTGGCACCTCCGGACATCAATATAGGCTGCTACCACCTGAGCTGCGGAAAACAATGCCCCTTCTTGAGGGCAGTGACGGCTTGGGATGCAGCAAACAGAAGGGAGCGCTTTCCGACACCTTCCTCCAGGACCACTGGGCAAGCCCGTTTGCTTCTGACGGGAACATTTCCAAGGGAGACAGCGGTAACGGCTTCCTCGTGCTGGGTTTTAACGCAGTGGGGCAGACAGCGTGTTTGCCACCGAAGGAAATGACGATCCCTTCGCTTACCAGGCTAGTAACGTCAGAATACGCTTTTTCCT